GCGTATGGTTGTGGTATACGTTTTGATAGTAGTCCATCCTATTGACTTTGTAATTATATTTAAGAGAGTATGTCGATAAACTTACTCGAAAATTTGAGTTTCGTTACTAAAGTGTAGAATTGCACTTCAATTTGAAATGAAGCTAATGTCAGTACAGGTATATGCAGCACAGTTACATGGTATTTCTTCCTCTGGTTTCTATATGAGCTTTGGTGCTTTAATAGGCTTATGCCAAAATTAATCAGGCCGCATTTCTTCGTATTCCATCTATAACTAAGCGACTTTAGACAATAAGTTAAAACTCTTATATTGTCGATCTTAATTGGCGAGTATTTTCGTGTAAAATTAGTTTACATTTTCGTCACTACATTTGTTTTCGCCATTATCGTGTTTGAACGGAAGGGTTTCTCCACCAGTACCACAATGCTCTCATTAGCACTCGGTGGTAGCGTTTGATTTTTGTCTGTCGAGGCGGCGACTTCGTCACTCAGCTACTGCTGCCCTCTGACGGTTGCTCGCCATCCGTCCTGTGACATAATAAGAACTAGTGGTTAAGGCTAGAAGCTACGGCGATTAGACCTAACGCTTTAGAGCGTTAAAGCTAAAGCTAACCCGGCGATTTGAGGTTAGACCCTAACGGCGACTACGCTCTTCACTTACAACAAACGGAATGTTCTAGATATATCATATCTGTTGTCATTAAGTTCAACTTCTAATAATTGTTATTCACGTCATTCGAGGGCTTGAGCGAGGGTGTCAACATAGTAGGCCCAACAACTATAATCTACTTGAAATAATCGCTATCCCTCGCCCTTCTCATGGTTCAATCCCTGAATTCCTGACCCTTGTTGTTTGAAATCGACGCAACATTTTGGCGTAAATTCGCCGGAATTTCATGTCGCTACCCCAATGCATATTCGGGCTCATAGTAGTAGGACCATGGAACCGAGAAGTTTTCCTGGTTGGACTCGTACGCCTCTTCATCATATCTAATTTACGTCACGCCGCGCCGGAATCCAGAGAGTGTTCGCGACTATTTCGGCATCACATCCGGTGTCATATCCTTCGTGACATCCGGTTGGACAGCGGCGACTGGGGCGTGGTTTATATAACACAATACTACGATGCATCTGCAGCTACATGGTATCACAGCAGCCTCAGACCCATTAGCCAATCACGCGAGTT